TTAGGAGGTGGCGAGAGGCCCAATGAGAGCACAGCCGTCAGTCTCCGTCAGCAGGACTGGGAGACCCTGAAGGTGGGCTGAGGCCTTCGATCTGGGCGGCTGAGTGGGTCAACAAAGGCTGGGGCGCAGCCACAGGCCTGGCAAGATGCCTCCCTCCGCGTTCTGTGCACCATGGTCCCTACGACCACCAAACACAATTCAATGAACTGAAAACACAAAACCGTCCTTTAAACCTCCTCCTCCCTGTCCGCGTGCATGCCCACGCTGTCCTTTACCTGAACTGGCCCTGCTACCTTGCTCACCAAGCCCTAGGGTCACCCCAAACAGTGTTTCCATGAGGTACCGTCTGGCTACCGATTCTTTTCTTCAGCAGCGAAGTCCAGAGGAAAATATGTGGACACCAAGAAAAGAGGAGTAGAAAGAGGAACCCAAGTGCCAAGTCCAACACAGGTTCTCTCCTACCCGCCTGAACCAGGCCTCAGGGAAGGTGAGGGGTGCGGAGTGGCCCGAGAAAAGGGCAGCAGCCTTACACCTCAGTGCCCACCCACTTCCTCTCTTTAAGCCACCCTATCGGCAACAGGCATAAAGGAAGCACAGCGTCTCTTACCAGAGTGCCCAGAAAGGTGCTGATGGTGCGAGCTGCCTGGCAGAGGGCGCCGTACTCCTCCAGCAGCAGGGAGACGAACTGGTGAGCCTGGGGCGGGCCCTGGACGGCAGAGGGCGCTTTCACCTTGGCTGCGGCCGACAGCTGTCTGAGGAGCCGAGCCTTCATCTCCAGCACGTACTCGCTGGCCTGCTGCTCCAGGCGCTGGTACAGCTGGTAGGGGTCCCTCTCACACAGCCTGCACAGAAAACAGAGTCAGGGCTCACCCAGGCCAGCCGGCACAGCAGACCACCTCTCTGCAGGGGTGGGCACCTTTGCTGACGCCACACTCCGGGCCGATGACCGTAACCTTCACCTTTGAGAGGTACGATCAGGCAGGCAGCCCACACAGAGCCTCAGGAGCTCAGGCAAAGTCACCAGCCGATTAACAGCCAGCCAGCACCTGCAGGAACACATTTCACGTGCTTCAGCGTGTGGGATCCTGCCCTGGCGGGCAGTGTGTCGTGTCCACGTTAGGGATGGGAGCACTCAGGCACGCACAGGCTAGGTGACTGGTCTGAGGCCCCACAGCCAGAGGGGGCAGAGCGTGGAATGGTTCTCAGTAGCCTGGCTCTGAATGTATAGTCCCAATCCACTAAGCTAGGCTGAAGGAGCCCTGGTGGCAAGATGGTTAAGCACTCGGCTGCTAATAAACACAAGGTCAGTGGTTCAAACCCACCAGCTGCTCTGCAGAACAAAGACCTGGTGGTCTGCCCTGTGAAGGTGACAGCCTAGGAAACCCTAAGGGGCAGTTCTACTGCATCCTACAGGGCCACTGAGGGTCCGAGGTGACTCAACGGCACACAGCTAGGCCAAGACCGACCTCCAGATCACCAAACGAGCACTGAAAATGACAATTCCTGAACATGTGGATGCAAACAGACGGAAAGGCAGCAGCACCTGGAGAGAGGACAGTGGAGCCACGAGGTGCAGCAGAGCAGGCCCCCAAGGGGCAGCAACAAGTCTCCAATCAGAGGGAACGTGAGAGGTGGTTTCTTCCATCTTTGAATACCTCACCAAGGAAGCAGGAAGAACGTATAGAATGAAATCTGTACGCTCAATAGAGGGGGGAAAGCGGGTACCTGTCCCACCGGCGGGCAACAACTGCAGTGAACTTTTCCACATACTGCCTTCCAGCTTTGGAGATCACCCAACTGTAACCTGGCTCTAGACTACCTGGTGTTCCCATGGCTACCGCCAACACTCCTCTTCATGATGTACTGCAGAGGCGCCTCTAGGTGGCAACTGAGCACCAACCCAGCACCCCAAAGACCAGTCAGAAGCAACCACCGAAAGAACCAGGACTGGTAAGCTCAGTTCCTGCCCCTTACATTGTGAAGCTCTTACCTTCGGGACACCACATTCGGTTAAAGCAAATGAACAGGGGCTCTAGAACCTAGGTTGTTACCTATTCCAGTTTCAATTAACCACACCACCTGCACCGCAAGAGTCAAGAGGGAAGCAAAATCTGGCAGTGGGACAAGTGTAGCCTTACGTAACAGCACAAATTAATGGATTCCCATTGTGCCTAGTACACTGAAGACAGTTACTTTAAACGTCGAGCCTAGCAATGTAATTCCAATCACAACAAACGTCCCCTGAAACCGAAGCAGTCACCTGTCACAGGAGAGTTACGCTTCCAAACGGGCTGACATCTCCTAGTTCTCTTGGCACGGTGGAATTACAGGTGCTGTTTAGTTTTGTTTCTTTGTTTCTTACTTATAAATTTAATGAAACGAGCAAGTGGTACTTTTGTAACAGAAGCAGGAATACGTTGAAGGTGATGTCCATTTGTTCATTCCGTCCTCGATTCACTGAGTAAACGCAGGCACCCTGACAGGGGCTGGATTCTGTCCCGGCCCACTGAAGATAAAGACTCAGGAAGCACTCCTTCCCTGGGACACTTGCAGCCTGCTCATTTCTACAATGGCACTCGAAGTAGTGGCAGTAATACCGTAGAAAGGAAGGTAAGGGACCTAATAAACAGTCACTGGTCATTCCTCTCATGCGCTCACCTGATCCCCCTTCAACTCACTCACTACCCTCAAGTCAATTTGACTCACAGCGACTCCTCCTTGGGTTCCCAAGGCAGTATCTCTACAGAAGTACATTGACCAACCTTCTTTCTGAGGACTGACTTGTGGGTTTGAACTGCCAGCCTTCTGGTTAGCAGTCAAATGCCTTAGGCACTATGCCACCAGAGCTCCCATTAGGCCCCTGGATTTTTTTTTTTTTTTACTTCTTGCCTATGCATTCCTGTCTCCCTACTCTTCTCATCTCCCATGGGCGAGGGTTCTAAGGAGTGTATTTCCCTGGTGCAGGTATTCAGCTTGTAGGCCTATCATTTGGTTAAGAGTTAAACCCCAAGAGTGAGATCAATTCCAGGCCGGAAGGGTGACTCAGGGCCATAGTCCTGGGGATGTCACCAGTCTCTATCAGACCAGTAAGCCTGGTCTCTTTTTTTATATAAAAGAGTCTGTGTTTTAGTCCACATTCTTCTCCCACTCTGGATCGTGTCTCCAGCTTTGATCCCTTTCCTGGGCGGTGCTGGTGGCCGAGCACCGTCTAGCTCTTCTGGTCTGTGTGTTACAATAGTCCTCTGCACCGACTGCTTCCACGCATCTTTAATTTTCTCCACTCTGCTTTGCTCTGGACGAGGAGAGACCAATAGGTGCCACTCAGATGGCCACTTGCAAGCTTTTAACCCAGTTGCTACTCATCGAAGATGCAGAACAACAGTTTTGTATACCATGCTGTGCCAATTGAGCAATTGAGCTTGATGTTCCCCATGGCCATGGTCCCCAACTCATAGGCCAGCTACCCATTCCCTCAAGGTGCTTATTTGTGGCTATGAAGTCATCCTAACTTTGCCTCTTGTTATGTTTTAACTGCATTATGGACATTTTTATGTTGTTGTTATTGTTACAGGCCGTTGAGTTGGACCCGACTTGGGTTTCCAAGGTGGTATCACTACGGAAGTAGATTGCCCAACCTTCCTTCCGAGGAGTGGCTGGTGGGTTTGAACTGGCAGCCTTCTAGTTAGCAGTCAAGTGCTTTAGGCACTATGCTACGAGAGCTCCTGGGCATTTCTGTAGCAGATACAAATACACATGTAGGGACATCATCTGCCAAACCTACATATGGTCATGGGCATTTTCCCACTTGCCTATCCATACCTGTCTGCCTGCGTATCCACCCATAGATTAGTGTTTGCTGTCACTGATGATGCAGTATTGTGTCTGTAACAGTACCTGCCTTTATTGTCTGTACCTCTTAGGCACCTCTCCTTCTCTTCCTTTTCCTTAGTGATACTGTGCTAGTCACATGCTTTTGTGATACTGCTTTTCCCTTCACCCATATCAAACCTCTCTCTTAATTATCCATCTATTTTCCTTACCTTCCCATCCCTGGTAACCAACAAAAAAATTTCTTTCCCTGTGCAAACCTTTCCATGACTTTTTACAATACCAAACAACAACAACAAAAAAACATAGTGACCCCTCCTCCTTGGGTTTCCAAGGTGGTATCTCTACGGAAGTAGATTGCCCAGTCTTCCTTTTGAGGAATAGCTGGTGGGTTTGAACCACCAGCTTCTGGTTAGCAGACAAATGCCTTAGGCACTACACCACCAGAGCTCCTACTTTTTACAATAATGGACATATAATATTTGTCCTTCTGTGACTGACTTATTTCACTCAGCTTAATATCCTCCAAGTTCATCCATGTTATGAGGTGATTGACTGGGTTATTCATTATTCTTTAAATGTTGTATAGTAGTCCATTGGTTGTATGTACCATAATCTGGTTAACCATTCATCTGTTGATGGGCACTTAGGTTACCTGTTTCCACCTCTTTGATACTGTGAATAGTGCTCTGATGAACATGGGTGTGCATGTATCTATCTGTTCGTGTCCTGAATCTCACCTCTTTAGGACATATTCCTAGTAATAGGATTGCTTGATCAAATGGTTATTTCTAGTTCCAGCTTGTTAAGGAAGAGGCACACCATTTTCCACAGTGCTTGTATCATTCTGCAGTCCCACCAGCAGTATATGAGAGTCCCAATCTCTCCAAACCCTCGCCACCATTTCTTGTTTTCTGTCCTGTTGAACTTTGCTATCATTGCTGCAATTAGATGATTCATTTTCGCTTTGATTTGCATCTCTCTAACAGCTAATTATCGTAAGCATTTCTTCATATGTTTGTTGGCTGCCCAACAATCTTTGGTAAAGTGTCTGTTGACACATACAGCCTGTGCATACATATAATGTCAATCTACGTGGTGGCAGTAACATCATAAAAAGAAAGGTAAGGGAGCTATTAGACAGTGAACTTTTAATTCCTCTCATCCTGCCATCTGATCCCCTCAAGGCCCTGGAAGCCTCTACCCTACTTTTTGTTGCTGTCTATTCTGTTGTTGCTGTTGCTGTTAGGTGCCATCCAATTGGACCCAACTCATAGTGACCCTACGTACAGAACGCACATTGCCTGGTCCTGCGCCATCCTCACAACAGATGCCATGCCTGAACCCACTGTTACAGTCACTATGTCAAGTCATCCTGTTGAGAATCTTCTCTTTTCTCACTGACCCCCTACTTCATTCAACCATGATTTCCTTCTCCGTGGACTGATCCTTTCTGACAATATGACCAAAGGAGGGAGACCAAGTCTGGCCATTCTCGTTTCTAGGAGCATTCTGTCAGCACTTCTTCCAGGACAGATTTGCTCCTTTCTCGTTCCTTCTTCTGGCAGTCCACGGTATTTTCACTGTGTCCTTCACTAACACAATTCAAAGGCATCGGCTCTTCTGTTATCTTCCTTATTCACTGTCTACCTTTCCCATGTCTGTGAGGTAACTGAAGACATCATGGCTTCGGTCAGGCACACCTTAGTCTTCAAAGTGACATCTCTGCTCATTAGCACTTTAAAGAGGTCTTTTGCAGACCTGTCCAGTACATTACGTCTTTTGATTTCCTGATTGCTGCTTCCACGGGGGTTGATGGTAGATCCAAGTAAAAGGAAATCCCTGGCAACATTAATCCTTTTTCCATTTATCAGGATGTTGTTTACTGGTCCAGCTGTGAGGATTTTTATTTGACGTTGATGTGTAATCATAGTGAAGACTATATGGTCCTCGATCTTCATCAGTAAATGCTTCAAGACTTCTTCACTTTCAGCAAGCGAGGGTGTGCTCTCTA